GGCTCAATTTCATGTTCGTTGCATCGATGACACTGTCTGACCATCTCATCCTTTGCCGTCCCCGTCTTCTTTGACCTTCAGTCTTTCCCAGCATCAGGGTCAATATCTTAGGAAATGCTAGCCTTTTTTTTGCCCCTTCAAATCTTGCATATTTATGAAAGAAAGAAGCACAGTGGTGTAGCTGAATGTATTAGAAATGAGCTAAGTTGCAAAGCTTTACTTTTCTTCAAGTGCAAAAATAATATTCCAAGCTGAACATTAAAAATGTTCAGTAATCCTATTGCTGGTAGGCACCCTAAAATAAGTGCTTCCTTGTGCATGGTACTACACTGTAACTTGGTAATATCTTGTAAGCCCCCAATATATGTGCTCATTTAACTCACATTAAAGGATTTATTTATGTCGCTTTATAAACCCCACTTTTCTCCCTAGTGGAGACCCAAAGGGGCTTACAACCTTTCCGCCTTCTTCATTTTATCCTCCCAACGACCTTATGAGGCAGACTCAGCTGAGAGGGTGTGTCACCCACTAGCAGGTTCCCACGAGGGAGGGGGGATTCGGTCCTCGTCTGACTAAACCACTACACCGTGCTAGTTCCAGGGCTTTCATTGGGGTTTTAAGCAGCTGGCAACAGTTTAGAGCAGTGGTTCCCAAAGCGGGTGGTGCTGGAGGTGCAGTGGGATTACCTAGAGGATGCTCAAAGGCAAGAGGGGCGCTGGAGGTGGGCTCCTTCTGCCACATTGGCCACTTATTTATAATTCACCAGAGGCTGTGGCACCATGCTTCCAAATGGCACTCCAAGTTTCTGCCTCTGCACAGTGCTGAAATCTGGTGGAAACTATCAGGATTTCTAGTAAATAAGCCACGAGAGTGCTAGTCAGACCAGTATACTACGTTTTGAGAAACTGTCAGCATTGCATGTGTGTTTGTCTCTGTCATTTTTCAAGTTTCTCTCGTAAGTCCTGAGACATGATTTCCCTCAGCAACTATTCAGTACAAAGACACATGAATGGAATGGCTGAAAATGTGGAAGCCACACTGTGCAGCATACTAAGGACAACAGAATTTGCATTACCGCTGGATGAGTCAGCTTTGTTTCTTGCTTATGAGTGTTTTATAAAAGATGAAAGTTCGGCTCAAGAGTTGTTATTTGCAAGGCATTCTCAGTATTTGGGAGGACTCCTGAAGTTCTGGCCCTACTAGTGGACCTCCTGATGGCACTTTGGCCACTGTGTGACACAGAGTGTTGGACTGGATGGGCCACTGTATCATAACAATACAGTGCTTTAAATTGGGACATTCCAGTAGAAGAGTGACATGTGTTGTTATAACAGAATTCGACTAGGGGCAACAGGTCAACCCAATTATCCTGTTGATAGTTAACAAAACAACTAATATATTGTTCCAAAGTCTGATTAATGCGCTCCGTTTGTCTGTCAGTTTCTGGGTGGTAAGCGTTGCTCAGGCCCCTCTCCACCCCCATTAGCTTCATGAGCTCCCCCCAGAACCGAGAAACGAACTGAGTTCCCCGGTTGGAGACCACCTTTGTCGGGAGCATGTGCAACTGTACAATGTGAAGAAGAAATGCTTTGGCCAGAGATTTCGTCGTGGGCAGGGAGGCAAATGGAATGAAATGAGCTTGCTTGGAAAATAAATCCACCACCACCCAAATCACAGTCATCGATTTACTCAGTGGAAGGTCCGTGATGAAATTCATGGAAATTACTTCCCAGGGCCTGCTTGGGGTAGGAAGAGGGTTTCCTCGGTCTAGGTTTACTCATGGTACAGATTTGGCATGACGGCAAACGAGGAAAAATCCTTTCGCATTTGCGGCCACCAAACATCCCGTTTTTGGAACGGGACAGGGACTTGGGGGCGGGGGATGCTGCTCAGTGGTGTAATCAATTAAGGAACTCCTGGCCTCTTCTATGTAAAACTTTGAATGCTGCCAAGGAGGCGTACAAATCTCAGGCTGATAAGAGAAGGGTGGAGAGTTGGGCTCTACAGCCTGGAGACTCAGTCTATGTGTCTACTAAAAACATTCAGTTGCTGCACCCTAGTCGAAAGCTGGGCTGGAAATACACTGGTCCGTTCCCAGTGAAAAGGGTGATCAATGATGTAGCAGTGGAACTGGATTTGCCTAAAAACTTGAGGAAACTGCATTCTGTGTTTCATTTCAGCCTCCTGAAGAAGGATTCCGGTTCCAGCCCTTGGCGTCCATCGAAACCTGTACCCCCTCGTATCTTGATAGAGGGTAGGGAACATTATGAGATCTCTAAAATTCTGGACTCTAAGATCAAACGTGGAAAGTTGATGTATTTGGTTGAATGGTTAGATTTCGGTCCCCAGCACCTCAAGTGGGTGGAAGTATTCGGGCCCCTCACTTGTTGCGGAAGTTTCATTGGGATTTTCCGGACAAACCGGGAGACCTCCCGGAATGGTAGGGAGAAGCTGATTTTCGAGGGGGCAGTATGTCAGCTAAGCTGCCGTGGAGGTTGGGGGGGTAAGTTGTATTCTTTTGCATTCCTTCTGTGCTTCGTAGCTACTGTAACGCTTATCTCTAAGTTCTGCAGGTGGTGGGATGTTGATGTCTAGTTCTAAGGGAACTGTGGAAGCGAGCTGGTTCCCAGCTTCAGCGCAAAACGACAGGAGCACCTTCTGCCGCGTGCGGGAATGTGGCTAATTGGCCAGAGCAGTGTGTGTGGGGGTGCATATGAATACCGTATATCCTATTATGCCCCAGGGGCAGCCGCCATTCTTAACAGTACCTATGCTAATGCATCTATAGCTCTTCAATAAAGTATTACCTTTCCTGATAAGCGTGTACCACGTTGTTGGCTGTGGGTTCCAACATGACTTCTCTGATGTTCTTATGGTTTCACATGATGTCTGAATTGAGCCATCACACAACATCTAGGAATGGACCTGGGCTAAACTGAGTGACATTCATCACTGAATCTAAATCCTATTTGTGATTCCCAAAGAACACTCACTATGTGAATGCAAAACAAAAGAAATTCAATCCATGTCTGATTGCCTGTATTTTAAAGAATAGCCAAGATTCCCACCACATAAAAGAGACAAGACCTGAAGTGGCTACAGAGCTTTAGTTTCAGCGCTGTCACTTCTAGTAGTGATTTGGATGGTTATAAGTGGGCTGGCGTGGAAAGCTCACGGAGTTGCTTACACTTTATGACATTATTGGGGAAAAGAATCCTAGATCTGAGGCAACTTCCATCTCTTTGCTTCCGGATTATGCATCTTTATTAAATGGATGATGCATCTTTATTAAATAGGTTTTATTTATTAGAAGAAGAAGAACAAGAAGAAGAAGAATCGATTGAATTTATACCCCACCCTTCACTACCCAAAGGTGTCTCAGAGCGGCTTACAAACTCCTTTCCCTTCCCCTCCCCACAACAGACAGACACCCTGTGAGCAGTGTTCCCTCTAAGCTGAGTTAGTGTGAGCTAGCTCACGGTTTCTTAGCCTCTGGCTCACAGATTTTTGTCTTAGCTCAGGAAGGATGGCTCCAGAGCAGGCTAATTGATGCAGCAGCCAAATCGCCTGCTCACAACTTTAATGCTGGTAGCTCACAAAGTGGAATTTTTGCTCACAAGACTCAACAGCTTAGAGGGAACATTGCCTGTGAGGCAGGTGGGGGTGAGAAAGCTCTTGACAGAAACTGCTCTTTTTTCAAGAACAGCTCTTATCAGAGCTACAGCTTGTCCAAGGTCATCCAGCCAGGTGCAAGTGGAGGAGTGGGGAATCAAACCCGCTTCTCCCAGATTAGAGTCCGCGCACTTAACCACTACTTCTATCAGAAATGCTGAAATTTTTGCTTTTGTTTTAAATTAAGATGACTGCTCCATCTTATTAACTCTGCTGAGGGGGTCTTATGAGGCGTAAAAAAGTCAATCATCACTGTCATGGAACCAGGGCCTGGACTGAGCCTCAGTTACTTTAATTTCTATAGTAAAGTATAGTTGAATCTTTGGTTTTGTTTTCCAGGAGGCTTCAGGACTCTGTGGCCTTCTGGTACTGATAACCCAATATGTGACTTTGGGCTTACATGACTTTTGCCTTTTGGAATGTTTATATATTATCAAATGCTAAACAGAGTCCTTTGTGTTACATTTTATGGCACGCATGGCCCAGCCCAACAAAGTGACATTTATGTCAGATCCGGCCCTTCTAACAAATGAGTTCGACATCCTTGAGATATGGTATCTGTAACTAGCTTCTTTGACTCTCTGAGTCAGCCTGACTTTCCTTGATTATTTTGACTCCTGAGACAGAAAGAAAGAGTTGAGCTTTGTCATGTATCTCAGGTATATGTCAGATGCTTAGCAACAGACTTGACTGGCAGTTAGATTAGATCCTGTGGATGAAAAGGGGTACTTAATGTCTGAATTTAGGCTCGTTCGTGGTTGTTCTGGCTAATCTGTTGTGGGTCTTGACAGAACACCCAAGGATATCCTTTATAGAATTATAAGTGCACTATTTATGCACTGGGGTTGTGTTGAAATATTCTGTGCTGAACATTGAAATGCCACAAAAGTGTTTCCTGACTTAAGAGTGTGTGTACTCAAATAAACTGAGTGTGGGTTTAGAACAACCGTCTCCTCCCCTCCCCCTGTCTCCCTCGGGACCCCGGCCAGCTTCTCCCCCTCCCCAAGGGACACCGTGGGGGGGATGGGAGTCCATGAAAAGGCTCCTGTACTCCTAATTTCCCGAACAATAACAAATGTATTTTTAAAATACACTTTTAAAATAATTTGTCTCTGAGTGAATTTAAGTTCCCTTATCCCACACCCTGAATAAAATCTGAACTGAAATGTGGTGCCCCTGGCTACAAACACTGGGTAAGAGAACCAGGATTTAGGCTTCCATTTGAAATAGGAGATCCATTAATATTTTTTTTTTGCTCTATAGCTCTTCATTTCTGCTTTGAGAGATGCTATTTTTATGCATAGCAAACATTACTAAACCACTCTTACCTTTTTGTAGAGACTTCTCAGGTCCCTGTACTGCCACATGCTGTTTAAGACCTGAGATGCCGCCTTCACTACTTTTGGTGAGTGCCTATTTAAGAAAGGGAAAAGGTGACACTTATCAGTAACTGAAGGCCTCAAGGAAGCACCCCTGAGATCCATCAACTCTATCAGTAGCTTGTGATTCATGATAGCTGAGCATTGCAATTTTCTTGGCCAACATCATCTCACTATTTACCACATGTTGGGTGAAGGGGGAAAGAACTACCATTTCAAGAGGGTTGGACTGACAAAAAAGTGGGCTTGCTGAGAGAACAAGGATACTGGTTAGTTACAAACAAATCAACAGCTGACAAAATAGTTAGAAGAAAGTGTAGCACTTAGAATAGTGAAAATCCTCTTTGAAAGGCCCGATGCTGAACTAAAACTTTATGCCCCTTCAAAATATAATTCACAAAGGATGACTTTGGGAGGCTGCTACACATCTCTCTCTCTCTCTCTCTCTCTCTCTCTCTCTCTCTCTCTCTCTCTCTCTCTGTGTGTGTGTGTGTGTGTGTGTGTGTACATATATATATTTCACTTCTTCCTTGCCCACTGCCACATAACTCAAGGCAGCTCATAACAATTTAAAAGAGCATGCAGTAATTTACAATGCATCCAAAAATATACATCTATATACTTTACAATGTAGTCCTTCATATGAAAAAATAATCCCAGACAGTTTCTACCTGGCTAGCTATTGAGTAATAAAAACCACACACACAAAAATCTCATAGTGCCAGAAAAAATCTTGAAGCTGGGCTTTGGGATTCCTTGCTTGGGAGGGAGTTTCATAATCAAAGAGCCAGAGAACATCTCACTGTCTTCTCCTTGTAATCAAACCCAGCATACAAATTGTTTGGATGATCCTTAAGAGTTCTTATAAAGTTCTCCTCTCACTTGTGAGCTCATGCTGTTGGTTGCCTATGGTTGGTGCACCGTGAAATGTGTCTAGAAGTATTCAGCATAGGGTTACTGAAGTAGCCCTGTCTGTTAGGACCCCTCCAGACACAGAAGGCAATGTGCTCCAGCTGAAACTCCTAGATGTTCTTCTCACATACAGCACATGATGACCATCAAGCCTTGAGGCTACAAAGTCATGAATGGCAAGTGGTGGGACGTTTCCAAACAGAAAAGGAATGCTCCTGCCCAACAGCATCACCTGCAAATATCTGAACATGTATTTTCTAATAATACTCCTGGAGAAATGTGCCCCTCTTCTACCAAGAATAGTTCTTGCACTGCTGGGCACTGTTAGTGGATGTAGGTTAACCCAAAAGACTCCCTTGATAAATAAATACTATGAGGCCGATGTCATTAGGGACTGAAACTGTCAGATATATTGCTATGCAAATTTTTGCTTACACCCTCCCCAACCCCTTCTTCATCATAGTAAGCATCTGTCAAGCTTACTAATGATGATAAATGATAAACTACAACTCTCTGGGAAACAATTAGAGCAGATGAGCACTAATTAAATTATTAAATTATAGTTAATAAGTGAGAGAGGGACTGTGAAACATACTTGTCTCCTTTACTCTTGGAAATGCCAACAAGCTTCTCAATTCCTCCTGCATCCCGCAAGGCCTTGGCATTCTCCATGTTTTTTGTGATGACTTCATGCAAGGTGCAACAAATGGCAGTCACGGTATCATCAGACATGGCCTTGCTTGTTGAACTGTTACTGTTGTTACCTCCGGGAAGTCGGTGAACCAGGTCCCGCATGGCATATTTGCCTTTTGAGAAGAAAACAAACATGCAGGGGAGAGTCATACAGTACAAGCAGAAAGCAAAACAGAAGGAAGGTATAGGAGAACAATACCCACTAGACAGCCCACCTGTAATGGGAGTATAATAATAGCAACTGGCCTTACAGGGTTGTTATAAGGTCTACAATAAGATTATGGGTTGGATCCAGCCGTAAATTTCAACTAATAGAGGAGTAAATTTTTGCCAGTTCTTTCCTCCTATTGGAGACTCCAAATTTGCTCCTCATAATGTTCCTTTGGTCTCCTGTCCCCAGAAGCAGCATAATGATTTGTACTTGGAGGGTGGAGGTGAGAAAGTCCCCTTCTGAGAGCAACTGGATCCAACATCATGTATGGAAAATGGTTTGAATATCCAAAGTAGTGTATTGTCAAGCTCAGGCTAACTGTGTTAACTTTTGATTTCTTTTTTAAAAAACTGTTTATTTATCATTTATATCATACACAACTACATATCGCGTATACTACATTTATCATTTCGAGTCACTTTTTTATCCCCTTCTCTAACCAAACATAAAATTTCCTCCATCTTTTTTCAAATATCTCATATTTTCCTTGTAGCAATACATTTAATCTAACAGCTATAGACAACATTTTATCTATCAGCTCTTCCTTGGGGGGGATTTTTTCCCCTTTCCAGTATTTTGCTAATAAAATTCTTGCCGCAGTAAAAGTGCAGCTAATTAGATATTTGTTCTCAGCACTGTAATTACTTGGAAGCATGTTTAATAGTGCTATCTCCAGTACAAAAGGAATATCTAATCCTGTAATGTCCCTTAATATTTTATATATTTTAGACCAATAATTTTGGATTCTTCCACATCTCCACCAGACATGTATAAGGGTACCCATGTTGTTCTTACTTTTCCAACAACTCTTATTAGTCGTTCCATAACACTTGGATATCCTGTCTGGTGTCCAATACCACCTATGGAACATTTTCAAAATCTTTTCTTTGTATGGAATTGCTCTCATCATCTTAACTGTGTTCCATATTTTTGACCATTGTTCTATTTCTATGTTAATAAGAAGTTATATAATTTTTGTATTAGTTTATCGTTTGAGGATAGCCAAATCTTGTCTAATTCATTGTTGTTCTCATAGAATCCTATTTTTAATCTCTGTTAAATTTGTATATTGTCCCACCATGTAAGTTTTATGTTTTGTTTGTCTAATTCTTTGTTAGATTTTAGTTCATTATCCTTATTTAACAAGTCCTTATATGTTATTTTCGTAAATTTGTCTATCAGAGTAGACTTTGTATTAGCTTCTATGGGAGCCACCCACTTTGGTGTTTTAGTATAGAATTTTTTTCTAATTTCTTTCCAAATTTTCATTAATGATCCTCTTAGTGTGTGTGTTTCAAAAGTTTTTCTCATTTTTTCGTCATCGTACCATACGTACTTATGCCACCCCATCATTAGGTTGAATCCTTCTAAATTCAATAGTCTAGAATTTTCCAAGAGTATCCAATCCCTAATCCACATCAAAGTTGCTGCTTTATAATATATTTCCCAGTTAGGCAGTCCAAAGCCTCCTCTTTCTTTCTTGTCCTGCATAACTTTTCAATTAATTATTGCTTTTTTACCATTCCATATAAATTTACTGCATATTTTTTCTAGTTCTTGAAAATAGTTGTTTTTTTCTTAATATTGGTAAATTTTGTGCTAAAAACAGGAATCTTGGCAACACATTCATCTTTATTATTGCTATTTTCCCCATAAATGAAATTTCTAAATGTTGCCATCCTGGTAGGTCCTTTTTGATTTTCACTAATAACTTGTTATAGTTGTCTTCCGTCAGTGTATTGTTCTATTTGATATCATTATCCCTAAATATTTAACTTTTTGTACCAACTCCATTTTTGATATTTCCATGATTTGTTTTTTTTATTTTTTCCACGTTTTTTGTTATTATATTTGATTTTTTAACATATATCTTCATCCCTGCTACTTGACCATATCCTTGTATTGTTTCTATTAGCTGTTTTAAGGAAGTTACTGAGTTTTCCAATATGAATAACTAGATCATCAGCAAAGGCTTGTACTTTAAATTCATCTTTGTAGATTTTCAATCCTTTAATTGCTTTATCCTCTCTAATTTGGTCAATTAAAGTTTCTAGTGTAAATATAAACAAAAGCGGTGATAGTGGACAGCCTTGTCTAGTTCCCTTTTGTATATTAATGTCTTCTGTTATGTCTCCATTAATTTGAATTTTAGCAGTTTGAATTTTATATATAGCTTTTATCATCTTTAAAAAATTAGTCCTACAGTTCCAAGCTTCTAATTTTTGGATCATAAATTGCCAACTTACATTATCGAATGCTTTTCCTGCATTGAGAAATATCAGCGCCATTGGTTTACTTGAATGCTCTTCATAATATTCTAATACATTTATTATCGTCCTGATATTATTTTTGATTTGTCTCTTTGGCAGAAATTGGAGGAACGCTTCCGGCCGTCGACAAGAATAGATGCGAGTTACTTAGTAGCTTGCCTATGCTTCACTCCTTACAGTCTTTAAGGGCTTTTCCAATGCCCTCCAAGGGTTCTTTTGGAGGAAGAATCCTAGCAAAAAGCTTTCTTCAAGCAACAGGCAGAACTTTTGATTTCTTAAAACTCTGTTTCTTGTTACCTTCACTTGTCATTTTGAATTCCTGGGGGAGGGGTGTATGTTGTTGCAGTGCATGGGAGTAGATGTTGTAAATTTCCTGAAGAAGTGCCCCAGAAAGCCAGTTTGGTGTAGTGGCTAAGTGTGCGGACTGGGTTTGATTCCCCGCTTGCACCTGGCTGGACGGACCTTGGGCAAGCCGTAGTTCTGATAAGAGCTGTTCTTGAAAAAGAGAAGTTTCTGTCAAGAGCTCTCTCAGCCCCACCTGCCTCACAGGGTGTCTGTTGTGGGGAGGGGAAGGGAAAGGAGTTTGTAAGCCGCTCTGAGACACCTTTGCGTAGTGAAGGGTGGGGTATAAATCCAATCTCTTCTTCTTGTTGTTGTTCTTCCCGTGAGACTGACCTTGGAGTACCTTTCTCTGCCATATTAACGCCAGGGGTAGAGGTGACGTCTGTGGATGTGGAATTTTATGCTTTTACCTAGTAATTTCCCACACATTTTCTCAGTCCTAACAAAAGCTCTTGAACCCACAGCATCATATCTCTAATAAAGCGTTACACTGCCAATAGGCATGACCTCAAAACAGAGACCTCTGTTAAGGCTCTGATAATCTGTTAAAATCCACTTGCATTTATGTTCTGTCTCTCTGCCTGTTATCCACAGTAGTTTATAATTTGAAGCACAAACAAAAACTAAGATACAAAAAGACAAAATAATACAACTTCCAGGGTGTTGGTGGTGTCTTCAGTAGCAGATAGTCTGAGGGTTGGGTTTCTCCTCCCACCTTTGGGAAGGCCCTGAAATGTGGGTTGACTCAGCATCAAATATCCCTAAAACCTTTGAACAGTGAAAAACTTTTAAACACACACAGGCACGCACGTATGTGGCTTCCCTTTGTTTGCAGTAGAATTGCAATGGGGGGGGGGAATGGTAAAAAGAAATGCCTGCCTTCCTCCAGTGAGGGGGACCTGTGTGGGATGGAGAAACGCCTGCTGGTGAGGGGGGAGCATCGCTCCTCGGGTGAAGGGCGCAAGCATTCTCATCCTGCAGTACTGAGCCGCCAGAAAGAATGAGAAAATAAGATGGATCAAATTGGAAGTGCACCAAGGTATTCCCTTTACCGCTCCTTCATATTTTAATTTCATTTATACTTTGTCTTACCAATGGGGACTCAAAGTGGCTTATATTGTTCTTTCCTCCATTTTATTCTCACAACACCCTTGTGAGGTAGGTTAGGCTGAGCATATGTGACTGGCCCAAGGGCACCCAGCAGGCTTCCATGACAGAGCAGGGATTTGGACTCAGGTTTCCCAGCTCCTAGCATGACACTTTGACGTGTACATCACACTGGCTTCTTGTTGTCAGTGCTGATAGTGTGGATCATTTGTTAGGCATGACTGGGTTGGGTTTTTGTTTTTGTACAACTGTAACTCACCTATGAACACTTACGCATTTCTAAAGCTCTTTGCCAGCCTCGTCACATTGCCCACTACTGCTCTGAAAAGTTTCATGTCCATATCACTGGTTATAATTGTTCCTCTAAGAATTGCTCATTCTACTTTGTGTCTGTGGAACTTTCCCTTACTCTTGATAACATTCTTCTGAGCTAAAGCGATTTTTAGACTGATTGGATTTTAAAGAAGCCCTTCACTTTTAATTATTGCTAATTATAAAGTAGGAAACTAAAAAGGCAAGCTAATTGAGGACATTTTAATTTCATTGGATTCCCAGCTACTTTTCTTTCCCATTCTATTCCGGCTATTAAGAGCCCACAGAAAACATAAAGAAGGCCACTATTATGTCTACTGACATTTAACTTTTTCTTTCTAGATACTATTTAAGAACATAAGAGATGCCAATGTTGGATCAGGCCAAAGGCCAGAAATACCAGGTGCCATCAGGAGGTTCACCAGTGGGGCCAGGACATTAGAAGCCCTCTCACTGTTGACCCCCCCCCAAGCACCAAGATGACAGAGCATCACTTGCCCCAGAGCCCCTATCTATACCTTGTGGCTAATAGCCACTGATGGACCTCTGCTCCATATCTATATATCTAATAGCCAAGTTGCCCCCGTGAGTGCGGATCGCTAAATCAGCGCTCCAGGGGCACTTGGGGGGGAGGGGGAGGTTTGTGCACACGTGGGCTAGTCCCCACGTGTGCACAAAAATGCTAAACCTTGAAAAAAAATTCAGGGGTGTGTGTTTAAATCCCCCCAAAAGTTCAAGACCGTTCCGTGCCCATGCGCACGGAACGCTTGGCAACCGAGGCTGCCGCCGCCGCCGCTTTAAAAGGGAAGCGGCGAGCAGCGAGGGGGGCCCCGAGTGGCGAGGGAGCCTAAGGAGCCTCGCTGCCGCTGCC